ACGAATGTCTTTCCTTCTTCGATAACGGTGGGCCCGGCCAAGTGTGCGAGGCGGGCTCGAAGAACAGAGAAGCTGCACAGTCAGAACCGCCGAAATAGAGACTTGGGGTTATGCTTGAATCACCCTGTAATGCCTTCACCATAGTCTTGGCCCCCCAAGCACCCCGTTACTTACTGTGACTGTTGAGTCAGAGACGGGTAAGAGTGAGCTAAGCTTAGCAACAGCAGAAGCCGGGCGTTCTGATATGGTGGCGTAGGCCGCGTGGGTAAGGCATGGGCATGGCGCCCGGCTGTGGTTGTGCCGGCCCCGTGACTGGCGGGTTATTGGCGGCGTGGAGGGAATGGGTGATTCCAGACGCACGCTGAGCCAGCCGAACGAGCCGTTTTGAGCGAGAACTGATCCCCACGCACAAGGCGCCGAGCCTTGTTAAGAGCCCGCCACTGGTACTTGTCGGCACCAAGGCCCCGTGGCAGCTTGGCACAGCTTCTGATAAAGGGATAAGAGAGTGGTTCTGCTGGCTGAGTGTGCTTTAATAACTGACCTGGTGCTCGAGCAATTGCCACAGTCAGTTCACCTCTACCGACCTCGCACATTTGCCTTGGACTGGGGGAGGCTTGGTCACCGCCCGGCGCCGCGCACCCCCACCTTCGCTCGAGATTCTGTGGGCGGAGTCGATACGTATCGCAGTCTTGATTATTTTCCCGCCCAGCGCCGCTACGCTGCTGATCCTCAGCTACGCCCACTTGTCCTTGATCCTGGAAAAATCCTCGATCTTCGTGACGGCCAGACCCTCTATACACGCGCCGCATCCCAAGTACCGCCCTCGTGAACCCATGTTCATCAGCCTTCTCTGAATGCATCGAGTTCAGCACCACGATCTGCACCAAAGAGAAGGAAACGATTGGGGCTAATACTGCCTGGGAGCAATATATAACCGAATTTGTAGAAGCAATACTGGAGGAGTCTGTCACCCGCCCGGTCGTGGCCACAACCTAAAGTCTCAAGTCGACCGCCACGCAGGAGCTCGGCAGCGCTGTACGACGCCCGTGTCTGACAGCATTTGCCAAAGATGGCGTGGCATCAGCTCTCCATAAACAAGCCGCATCTGGTGTACATCATCCTCGGCGGCTTCACCAGCATCTTCATGCTATGTTCGCTCTTCATCAAGGAAAAATTGTACATCGGTGAAGCAACCGTGGCGACCATCTGCGGCGTCATATTTGGACCGCATGCCGCCGACCTGATCAACCCTCTGACCTGGGGCAACACCGACCAAATCACCCTCGAATTCTCCCGCATTGTCCTGGTCGTCCAGTGCTTTGCCGTGGGGGTCGAATTGCCGAAATCATACATGGAGAGGCACTGGAAGTCGGTCACGTTCCTTCTTGTTCCCGTCATGACCTTTGGGTGGCTGATCACCAGCCTGTTTATCTGGTGGATGATTGTCCCACTGACGTGGCTAGAGTCGTTGGTCATCGCAGCTTGCGTCACCGCCACCGATCCTGTGCTGGCTTCGTCGGTGGTTGGTAAGGGCAAGTTCGCCAAACGGGTACCGAAACATCTTCGAGACGTGCTGTCTGCTGAGTCGGGTTGCAACGACGGCATGGCATTTCCGTTCATCTACCTGTCTCTGTATCTCGTGCGGTATCACCTCAAAGGCGGTCCGGTCGTCTTCCACTGGGTGTGTTTTACGATCCTGTATGAGTGCGTCTTCGGCGCCTTCTACGGGGTTATGGTTGGGTATATCGGTCGCCATATGATCAAGCTGGCGGAGCGGAAGGGCCTCATCGACCGAGAGAGCTTCTTGGTCTTCTACTTCGTCCTGGCTCTCTTTTGCGCCGGCTCGGGCAGTTTGTTGGGCATGGATGACCTCCTCATTGGATTCGCTGCTGGCGTGGGCTTCTCCAACGATGGCTGGTTTACCGAAAAGACGGAAGAGTCGCACGTGTCGAACGTCATTGATTTGCTTCTCAACTTGGCCTACTTTGTCTATTTTGGGACCATCATCCCGTGGGACCAATACAATTTCCACCAAGTCGGCCTGGTTCCTTGGAGGCTGGTGGTCATCTCGATATTCGTCGTCTTTTTCCGTCGAATACCCGCAATGCTGGCACTGAAGCCGGTCATTCCCGATGTCAAAACCTGGCGAGAAGCCCTGTTCGCCGGCCACTTTGGGCCTATCGGGGTCGGAGCCATCTTTGCTGCAATTCTTGCTCGTGCAGAGTTGGAGACTGACTCCACCACCCCTCTGGCAGTTATCCCGAAGGAAGGGCAATCGGAGGAGTATCTCTTGATCTACCTCATCTGGCCGGTTGTCACGTTCCTGGTCATAACGTCAATCCTGGTGCATGGTTCCTCAATTGCCGTGTTCACGTTGGGCAAACGGATCAACACCTTGACGATCACCCTGTCATACACGCAAGACAACGAAAGAGGGCCAGCATGGATGAATCGACTTCCTCGCATTACCTCTCAGTCAAGATCCATGTCTCGCATGGATAGCTCCGACCTGGAAGTGGACGAGAAACTGGATGTTCCACCAGGAGAATTGCCTCCTATTGGAATCCCCAAGCTCCATCTCAGGCGCCAACGCGAGGATGAGTACGAGAAGAAGCCAGTGTCGAGGTCTTCTAGTCTCGGCCGATCAAGAAGAAGGAGACGTAAGGACAAGGATACAGGAGAACGTCTGGGAGGCCCGATCAGCCAAAGTGCCATTGCACCAACGAGAACCAGCGAGCCTGGTCTGCTGCAACAGGAGTCCGGCTCGGATACTTTGTTTGAGAAGTCAGGTGAACCTTCACCCCAGAGTCCTCAAGAGCGCCTCGTGACAGGTTCGCCAACGTCATCTCCGGAACGCGATCAACTCGAAGCAGAGCACGAGGCCGAAGCCCGAAGGGAGGCAAGCGGCCGCGAACACTCTCCACTGCCCAAAGATAGACCCGCAGACATCGAGGTGTACGAGGAGGGCGATAACCTTATCGTTGAGGATGAAGAAGGGAATGTGGTAGACACGATCGAGACAAAGGACATGTCGGCGGAAGAGAAGGTGGCTGCCATTGAAAACGCTCGTAACCGCTTGACCAAAGACGACTCTGGGAACTTCGCCAAACACAAACATGAGTCTCATTCCAGATCTGAGGGTGATGAGGTCGAGGAGCAAGTTGAGCAAGCCGTTATGCCCAAGTCAATGCGCCACAGACTCGACCAGTGGAAAGGGTTTGCCAGACGCAAAGAAGGAGAAGGCGAGCCTTCAGCTGAGAAGAAGAGTGAAAGAAAGCGCGGTCCGGCTCATGCGTACCAGTTTGGCAATACGGTTATAGTCGAGGACGAGGACGGAGAGGTCATCAAGACGTACACCATTCCTAGCGAGAGTGGAGGCAGTGACAAGCGGAGAGAGCAGCAGATGCGCGCAGGTCTGCGACGCATGAGTACTTGGGTGGGCCTTGGTCGACAAGGTGCAGGGGCTGGTGTAGGTGCAGGACCAAGCACTGCCGACCCTGAACAGACGGAGGTGGAAGGCGAGGATGTCGAAGAGAAGCGTGAACCAAGACCTGACAAGAAGAGGCGGGTCAGCGACACATCCTCTGATGACGGCTTGAGAATGATCATCTCGAGCCGTGACCAGTATGGCTTGACCGGACTGCAGAAGAAGACTCGGGACGTCCCCGGTACGATAGCCCTTGGCTCAGGACGCCGCCTGTCGACGAGAGACTTCATCAAGCAAATGCAGCAACTAGACCCGAAGAGCAAGATCCGGGAAATGGAGCAGAGTGATGCTGGAGAAGACATTAAGCGGGAAGTGCGAAGGGCAGCGAAAGAAGAAGGCCTCGATGAGGCAGTAAGTCCTGCCGATCGGCCTAGACGTGGTCGAGCTGAAACGAGCTCCTCTGCTGCTGCTACCCGGGAAACGCCGGAAATAGGAGGCAAACCTACGTCCCAGCAGGAAGCCGAAGACTATTTCGGTTCGCAGGGACGACCAAGATTGGGTTCTACAAATAACGCCCATGCTACGCTGGAAGAGGAAAGTGAAGAGGAGGAAGGCGAGGAGGGTGTTCCAACTCATAACGTACGGTCTACCGTCGCTCGACACAGCCAGGGCCTGACCGCTGCGGATGCTAGGAGACGCCAGCTGGCGAGAATCCGGTCGGAAGACGAAGAGGACGAGGGAGAGGAAGGAGAGACGGCTGCGGAAAAGAGACGTCGGCTGGCTGCTTTGGGTCTAGGGGCCGAAGACACGAGCAGCGAGAGCGAGGGAGACGAAGACGAACCCCGTCGTGCCGTGGCGGCGGTTCAAGAACCAGACCATGAGCCGGAAGAATCCTCATCGTCTGCACAGCCCAAAGCTCGGATTCAGTGGGGTGGCGAGAGCGGAAGAGAGCGAGAGAAGGAGACGGAGCCGGAGCCGGAGCGCGAGCCTGTCGATATCTATGCTGGCGATCCGGTAGTGGGCGCTGCCAGGAGGCTGAGGAGGATGATGAAGAAGAAGAGACACCAATGATTGTTGATAATGGGACGACATGTTGGGCTGCATACTGTATTTGTTGTTGATGATGGTAATGTTGCTGCACATACTTGCACTTCTGTTTCGTGCATATAGTATTGTTGGCGATTGTCGGCGATTTCTGTTGGTCGTTTAGCTGGGTGGCAGTATATCATTTCCGTTGGCAAACAGCAGCGTTTGCTCACTGCAGTACGCATCTATGTCCAAGTATGGAAGCCATAGTTTGCCCCAGCTCGCTGATTTATCCCTGAGGATGATCTTCTGGCTGAGCTTTGTGTCCCCCCCCCCGGCACTATTTGCGTCTCTGTCTCTTCTCGACAGCGACGGAAGAACGCAGGCATACCCTCGTGTGCCTGATCGACACGTGAGTCAGCCACACACAATCCAGCCAGGTGTGGCAGTGCTCCAGTTGCATCGAACCCCACCACACTAGAAAAGAACTATATATTTTCTGAATGCAAAATCGCCTGTGCAATTCAGCCACAGAATTAGCTTCTCAGGTTGTGTAGTGTAGCGGTTAGCAGTAGGTTCTTGTTCGCGTCCGGACTGTGTCTTCGACAATACTAACGGGAGTTGCAGCACGGGATTCTGATACTCTGAAATTTCCCGTGACCCCGGTTCGAATCCGGGCACGACCTTTTCAATTTTTTTGTGCCTTTGCAGATGCAATGTTAGTCTGTATTTTTGATCTACAGTATTTCCTACGGCTGGCCAGTTTAGAGGGTACAGCAGACCCTGCATTACGCTTTGTGCGGGGACCTAAAGTGAAGATCAACCAATCGCACAATAAGTAGCACACAGCCTTGCCAGAAATTTCGAGCATCAAATTGAGATTCACGACAACCTCCGCTTCGAAATTTGAAAGTCACAATCCCCAGCTCAGCAGCTGCGGTGTCAAACCCGGGTGGCTATTGTACTGACACGCCATGTCAGTGAGACAGATGGAAGAGAGATCGAGGAAGCGAAGGAAGGTGGAGGGCTCTGCACCATCAAAACTGGCTTCTTTTACCAGTTCACGCCAGCTGCAGCAGTTGCTTCATTCTTCGCCACATACTCCTGCTGAGGAGATCAAATCAGGTAAATTGATTCATGCATGCACACAGGATGTCTCGCTGACGAATCCAGCAATCGACCAGTTCACCCAATTCCTGTCCTCGATTTCCAGTGACGTGGGCACTCCCGCCCAGCCAGGGGCCAGTCAATTAAAGGTTCTGAAAGAATATTGTGACGAGCAGTCGTCTACTTCTCATGACCAGGTCGACTTCCCCGACCTATTATCTGCATGGGCGAATGCAGGTCAGGCCAACACCGAACCTGTCCTGTCGGCTGTCCCTACAGCCTTCACTCAATTTTTCCGCACGGTCTCCAACCATGTCGAGTTCCGCGAATTCGGCCTCTCTCTGTGCCACAGTCTGCTCAAACGGGACCAGATACGGATTTTCGACCGAAACTTATCATCGCCGAGAGCAAAGGAACACCTCATAACGCCGTGCTTGCAGCTCTTGACTCAAATAGCCAGTTTCGATGGTGGCGCGCTTGCCAGCAACGTCTTCAACCGCCGAGATTTTCTGTACCGACGACTTGATGGAATCCTCACTCAAACACCGTCAAATCCAACAAGACACCAGGATGTCAGCGCTCACCAGGCGGGTCTGGAGTTTGTTCTGGCGAACCTCAAATACCTTGATCCTGGTTCGAAGTCCGAGCTCATCACTCACGGCAAGTTAATATACTCGGCGATCCGCAGCCTGTCCGACGCCGACGTCGTTACTGTGGTCAGCTTCCTAAACGGCCTCTCGACCTCGATCCTCAATGACAATAGCCTCGGCAAGCAGATGAAGGTCCGGTGCTTCAACTCTGGCGTCTTGTCCATGCTGGCCAAGCTTTATGACTACAAGATAGGCTCGGAAGCAGGGCCATCTTTGGAAGTGAGAGACGCTTTGCAGCAGTTGTTGTTGCAGGCTTGCACATCGCCAAACGGCAACCTGCTTCCGCAGGATGGCTGGTATCCTGTCGGTACTAACCCAGAGGTACTGGAACAATCCGAGAACATGATAGATCTCGGGTTAGACTCACCATTTCACTTCGATGACTACACAGAAAAGGTTCCGGTCAAGAACTCCACGTTGTCGACTTTCCTGCAGACACTCCGGCCCGAGAATGATGTGCTGCAGGCGAACCTCATCACTGGCATATTTGAAGCCGCTCCTGAATTGGTAGCCGACTATTTCACGAAGAAGCAGAAATTCATCGTCCCTCCTGGAGATGACCCGAAATGGCGTGGACAGTTTGCTTTTTTGTTCTCCGTCGTTCAGCTACCTGTACCGAAGAACTGTGGCTGGCATGATAAGCTACCACTGGCACCACCACCATTGTCGATTGTGGTTGAGAGCATCCTTCCTCGGCCACTGGATCGGGCTACCCTCGGCAAATGCCTTCGAATGAACGACGACATTATGACCATGTCTGCGGTACGGTTGCTCACGGTGGCCTTTGTGAAGCTTGAGGCAGTGCTGAACGCCTTCGGAAAAGCGCCTCCAAAGGCAACCTTATGGCGTCAAGCATCTCGAAAACTCATCAACCTGTTCGTTGAGCGAATCCCGCCTCTCCATGACATCGTCACTGCGTTTCAAAAGGTGGATCGAGAAGATGAACAGACTCGGACGACTGTACTTGAATGCGTTGCGACATACCTACGAGTCCTGCCTTCTTTGGCTGCGTCTTCAAAATTCGACTTCGGACCCAGTTTAACAAAAACAATTCAGGGCTTCGGGCGCGAGGACAGCATTGTGGACGAAGATGTTCTGACTGAGCAAATTCAACATCTTTTACAAATTACCAACATCTCACCCTCAACAAGGTGGTTTCACAAAGGAGCTTCCGACGACGTTTCACTGATCGTGCAGCTGTTCCAATTCTGTGTTCAACGTCCTGGATCCCTTGTCGCCAAACAAGCTCTTCCCATCTTGAAGGCAGTCCTCCATAGCAAGGGAGTCATTGGCACGGAGACACGTTCTTTCGAAGCGCTGGTATCGAGCCTTGGCTGCACTAAGAAGTGGGAGCCAGCACTTGTCACGTATCAGTTCCTTGACAACTGCTTGTCTAGAACAATCCAGCGCCCGGTCAAGTACCTCGACCAGCTTGAGCAAGCCCAGCAACTGTTGTCCGACTCTACAGACTTGAGCCTCGTGGCATGCTGCGTAGCTGAACAATGGCAATACGTCGCCAAGAAGGAAGATAGCAAGGCTATCAAGAATGTAGCGGGATGGATCGCGAAATTCTTCTCTGCTCTCGACGCTGCTGGAGAGAATTATCGAGTCATGACCCATTTCAAGGAGGATATTATGAAACAACAGTGCAAGGAGAATGAAACCGCCAAAGCTGCGCTTGACAAGCTGTTCGAGAAGCAGAGAACAAAGCCCGCGGTGTTGCCCAATCTGCAACTGCACGACTCCGAACCATGCGGTGAAATCCAAATGGAGGATGTAGCGACGTCGCCTGAAGAGACAGCACCTAATGCGGACCTCGCCAACGCCTTCCCTCCGCCGCCACCCATTCCGCATTCGTTAACCGGGCTCGACCGCTGGTCGAAACCCGACTTCGAATCTGAGATCCATACGGGCCGTCTCGCCAGCTTGATCCGGTGCCTCATCTCTTCAGAATCAGAAATCCGCATTCAGGCATTCCACACGTTACAAGGCGTGATGTACGCGGTGGAAGAATCTGCCTATGAGGAGAAAACCCAGCTTTACCTCCTTCTTGGCGAACTGTGCGAGACCGTAAAGGTCCACAATGTATCCAAACTTGCCGGAAACTCTTCGTCCCCTCCGGCCTCGATCGTCGCAGAACTGGCAATCCACTTCCTCCCAACCATAGCGGAGCCGTCATCGCCCTTCTATCGCAAGACGAACAACTATCTCCTCCGCGGGCCGTCATGGTCCGTCACACATATCCTCACCTACTGGATCAGCGAGACGTTTTTCATCGCCCCGGAGATCGACGACGCCGATATCCCCTTCCACGTCCCGCAAAGCAGTGGCAGGACCAGTGGCGGTGGCAGTACGCGCACCGGCACTGGGCTCGGAGGGACCAATAACGCCCAAGCCCTGGAGGTGGAGCACCTTCTCGATCTCCTCCTCCGATCGCTCCGCACGGAAGAGGACATGAATCTCTTCCGCCGCGCCCACGTCTTCGCAAGGCTTTTCTCATACTACCTCGCGCCCATCTGCCCCAGACACATACGCAAGAAGATTCTCGGCCTCGTCTACAGCGCCACGTCGGTGACTGGCGGGAGCGACACGCTCATCACCCGCACAGGAGTGAGGGAGTGGTTGGCCGTTGCCAAGACCGTGAGGCTCCACAGCGGATATGGCCCCCTGTTCGGCAAGATCGACGAGGACGTCAACACCTGGATCGAGGCGCTGGAGAAGGAGATCGAGAGGACCTGTCACGGCGAGGCAATCAAGCGGTGGGAAACCGAGAGGAGGACTTTCAACGCAGCGGAGGGCGCGAATAGTGCGAGCAACGCGAACGGACGAGTACTCACAACAGCGAGTACGAGTAAGAGCGGAGATGGCGATGGAGGAGATCACAAGGAGAGGCATGTCGACGGAGCCGCCAGGCTTGACCGAGAGGACACACGTGGCTCGGACTTTGATGACTCTGGCTCTGGCTCGAGCGCTCCCACTGACACTAGCTCCGACGACGGTTCAGCCTCCGAGTCCGAGTCCGAGTCTGATTCTGATTCTGATTCCGACCCCGATAGCGACGCTATAATGAGCTGGTGAGTGTACCTGAGCTGAGTCGGACTGAGTCGAGGTGCATTGACCTGGTCGGAGCCTCTCCAGTCTACAGCATAGTCGAGATGGGCGCGCCTCCTTTTCTCGACATACGAAATACCTGGTAGGACAGTCAGGCATGGCACAGCACATTCAGCAGGCCGCAAGACTTACTATGTAGAGCCCGCCAGTCAGCCAGCCAAGTTCACGTATCAATCAGTCTGAGAGAGTCGTTTGTCGGCGCCCTCTACTCGTAATGTTGTTCCTTGTAGGTACATAAAGAGAGTATCTGGGTCTCGTTGCGTAGGACAGAATGGAGCAGAATGATCTAAACCGGTATATGTTCTTATTGGTCTCCGTGTCTATATCTAGCCATCAGACAGACAGGGAGGGTGCTTGTCTCTCGACTGCCAAGTGCTGGATTATGTGCAATGCAAATGCGATTCGGACTGTACTTCTGTCTACCGAGGTCGCGACGGGATTCAACCACACAGACGGAATAATGAGAAATCAAGTCTATCTTGCCTTCTCTTTCTTGTCTACTGTATGTCTCTTGGGTCACCCTGGCCTCTTGCCACGGCGTCTTCGCAACATGAGACCCGCTCTCTTTTTGTGTTCATTTCGACAACGGTACCACTTTCTGAGACGGACCTGCTATGCCGATTTTCTCCGACATGGAGGGCCTAGGGGATTGAGCAAACTTCGCCATCATTTGATGCTGGTCCCTGAAAGACCGCAAAAGTCGATTTAGAAGCTCGTGAGATCTGTGCGATGATTAGCCACGTTTTCACCGGTTCCCAGAAAGAAATTGAACTCACCTCTACCGAACAAGGCCCTCTTACTCCAGTCCATGGCTAACA